CTGAGCAGGGAGCCCGATGCGGGACTCGATCCCGGGACTCCAGGATCATGACCTGAGCCGAAGGCAGTCGCTTAACCAACTGAGCCACCCAGGCGCCCGATCAGTCTTTTTTATTATAGCCATCCTAGTGGGGTGAAGTAGTATCTCATTGCAGTCTTGTTTTGCATCTCGCTAATGAGTAATGATTTTGAGCATCTTTTCGTGTGTTTCTTGGCCTTTGTATACCTTCTTTAGAGAAATGTCTATTTGTTCAGACCCTTTGCCCATTTTTAATTGGGTTATTTGAATATATTCTTATCTGTGGTGTTCATAATCCCTGCTGGAATACTCCTAAATTCAAAAATCCTATTTTATTGTTCCTCATGGATCACTGAAATGTTTCATGGTTTTTCATCAAGCTGTATCGCCGAGTCTGCTTCTTGAATTCAGAAGTAGTAAAAAAGCTTCTTGTTAACATATATTCCACTTTTTGTTTGGGGACATCTATGGATAGAATTTATTCTATCTTTTCTCATCATGGTTCCTTAACATCAATGTGTTAATTATCTGTTAGGAACTAAGGAGACATGTTTAGGTTCACAGTACATTATTGGTAATTCAGTATTTTGTAGAATCATGTATATGTGACTACCTAATGGTTATACCTGTGTAAAGGTCTGTAATATATAGGTGTCTTGGATCTCTCAAGCTGCAAAAACATTTTAGTTTGATTAGTATTAAATTTTTCATTTCTGCAGTAATACATGTCTTCTTTCTCTTCTTAAAATACCAGAAATGCTAGTATAGTTTCTTAAGGAGGTTAGTGGGTAATCTCAGTTGTCTTAGAATTTATCAGCCTTGAGTGCCTCTAGGACCTTCTGGAATAATGGATCCTATAGGTGACTAGACAGGTGTTAGGAGTCCTGAGCTTGTTAGTTATCTGTTATCTTGTGGGTGTGATTAGGCTTCTTCAGAATGTCTAATGACATGTCTTTTCTTTTTAGGTTTTTCAGGCAGAAAATCCCTTTGATTTTATGGAGAACATTTCTTTAGAAGGGAAAACAAATTTCTTTGAGAAACGAGTTGCAGAGTATCAACGTTTTGCAGTCATGGCAGAAACTACAGATAATGTCTTCACCTTGGATGCAGATTTTTAAAACCCTTCCCATATATAAACCTACCACTGGTAAATAGCAGTCCGTTTTTCTTTGCTTTAAAAAAAAACAAAAACAAAAAACCAAAACTTAAAGTACCTCTTTTAGGGAATAGAAGTTTGCTCAAGAGGAAATCTAAAACCAAATTTCATTCAAGTTGGATTTATATAAATACACTCTAATTTTCCTGTTTAACAACCAGCGTGTGACTTAAATGCTTTTGTCACTAAAATATAAGATGGTATTATGTAGCGGTTAAGAGCATGAGGTGAGGGGTCAGATATGATTCGACATTCTACCCTTACTACTTGTGTGATTCTTGGCAAGTCGGTTAATCTCTCTAAATCTCAGTGTGCGTATCTTTAAAATGAATGTAATAGTAGGTCCTAAATTTATTGCGTGGATATGAGGATTAAGCCACAAAATAAATGCTTAGCCAATATTAGCACCACCACTACTATTACTACTTACTAATAGTGTTAATTATGGTGGTGATGTGATAAAATGCTCCCCTGTCCTCCAAGTAATTGTGATTCTAGGTCTTAAGATCTAGATTAAATCTTTGTATTTTTAATGTTTGAGGGAGAATATAAAGATTTCATTTAAAAGATTATAATTCTCATTAACTTGAGAATAACTTCTTTGAATTCCTCAGCATGTGGTAAAGGAAATTTAGTTCTTAGTTGCTTTGGGCAGGATACTTATGAAGTGGAATTCAGGAAGTTATCCTGGTAGTTGACCTTGTAAGTAAAATTATTCTCCTCCTTTGGAAGTCAAAATGGCCACTATTGCCAGACATAGTCCTGAAATGTTTAAAGCCCAGGTGAATTAGCTAGAATACCATTTCCCAAAGAGTATTCTAAGAGCTGTTAGCCCCTCTAGATATTTTGTGGGGGAAGAAAGGGATTCTGTGGTCAGATGAATCTGGGAAATGTTTATCCTCCCTTCCTCTTTAGAACATATGGTCAGTACATCAACGACAGAAAAATTCTGCAGTACATAAGCTTATTCCCCCCTGCATATCCCAGGCTTACTTAATACGAATCTGTTTTTCACCTGTTAACATCTTACCTACCTGGTATTCCTCAGAACATAGTTTGGAAAAAGTTGGCCTAGAACTATGGCCTTCAGAGGAAGGAGTTGGGGACTGAGTTAAGGAGACCTGGTGGGAATTACTGAACCGTTCATGTTTGTGCCAGGCTGAGTAATGTACCTGAGACTGACCTCAGCTGTGCTTCTTTAATACTCTTGAAACTCTTTTATGCTGTTACAAGGTATAGTCCAAATAATGGAACTTTATTGCCTCCAGAACAGTAGCAGATAGACACAGGTCTCTGCAGAGGAGCCTGAGTGAGGAGAGGCCAGGAACCCCTCGTAATCGTTAAGAAGAGTCAAGAGGTAGCCTGAGCCCCCAAAACAGTGTGGTTCTCCACTTCCAGCACATTTTTATAAAATTCTGCAACCTAGAATTTAGAGATTTTCACTGTGCATAAATGTTTGCTCCATTCATTTGGCAATTATCTAATTGACTTTATAAAACTGGGAGTTCTCGAGTGGGTGCAAGAGGAGCAGGTCATAGCTTTGTTAGGGAGAAGGTCCAAAACTTGATATATTTCCAACCTATGACAATGACATTTATTTGTTCAGTTTGTTCTGTGCTGCAGAGTTGGCCAGCTGTTTTTATATTTTATATCCCCTCGGGTGATCCCACAACAGCCTTTGGAGCTTGAAGAGCCGCTGGTATTGACATTTTACTGATGGGGGAGAGTGAGGCTCAGAGAAGTTAAATGACTTGGCCAAGATCTGCTCATAGCACTGTCCCTACAGGAGAATTCTTTTTTCTTAGAGATTATCATCTTTCTTGTATTTAGTCCTTTACATCCATCTTGATGTGATTTTGTCTTTCCTCATTCAAGTATCATGTACTTTAATCAAGGTGTTATATAAATTATTTAACTATATTCAGGTAGTATGTTCAAAGATGTGTCTACTACTATACAAAAACTGAACATTTAAAATTGACAATATCTGCAATGATATCAGAATGAAAGAAAAAAGTTTTCAGTGCATATTCCCATTGTTTTGAATCCACATCTTTCTCATAGGTAATGGCAGGTGCCTTAATATGAAGCTTATTTATAGTAGCAATAAACCTAACTGCATTGAGATGAAGAAGTTTTATTACTGAAATACTGGATTTTTAATACACTGGTTTATTACACTCGGTGTTCTAGATCCTTTTCCAGAACTCCAGGTTGCATATTTATTTATTATGTTTAGTATTTTGGTTCTTAGCTCTTAAGGAATGAAGCAATTATGGAATCTCTTTTTAACTTGCAGGTAAAGAAAAAATTCAGAGTATGTTCACAACTTTTTTTTAAACAGCACATGTATTTAGATCATTGTTACAGTAATTAAGTTCATTATTTAGGAATGTAAAAACTCGTAGTTCATGACAGATTGCACTTATTAAACATATTTCATTGTAGTATGTAGAATCATGATTTGGAAAGACTTGGGAAGACAGACCCAGTGCTTTCAGACAAGGCTGTTTTGTTGTTCAATTACATACAATAATAAACAATTACTTTTACATACAAGCTTACTCGAGTCCTGTCTTAGTTAACGCTCATTTTGGAACATCAAATTTTTCTGCTGCTTTTGCCATTTTATTTTTTATTCATAAAAAAGTGATTACAGTTGACCCTTGAACAACACGGAGTTAGGGACACCAACCCCCTGTGCAGATGAAAATCTACATGTAGCCTTTGACTCCCCCAAAACTTAGCTACTAATAGCCTACTGTTGACCAGAAGCCTTACCAATAACACAGTTGACAAACACATATTTTGTGTGTTATATGTATTATATACTGTATTTTACAATAAAGTAAGCTAGAGAAAAGAAAATGTTATTAAGAAAGTCATAAGGAAGAGAAAATACATTTACAGTCCTGTCCTCTATTTATTGAAAAAAATCTGCATTTAAGTGGACTCATGCAGGTCAAACCCGTGTTGTTCAAGGGCCAACTGTATGGAGAAAACAGCAGTTTGCATATTAAAAAAAATACATTATTTGATATTCAGAATTTTGCATTTGACATTTAAATATGCTAACAGTGTCATGGAATCCCCAGATTGCATTTGTACAGATTAAGCTAAGGGCTAAATGTCACTAACTGATTTTCAGTGATAGAGAAATCTGCTCATGGGCTGCATGAAAGCCAGCTTAGTCCTATCATCAGGTATTATGTTTTTCAACTAAATTGAGTGATTTGGCAGCCAACTCAGGAACTCTTCCTCGGTATAATCTGTATGAGTGGCACAGAAGGGAAATCTGTATATCTTTGTTTTTCCCACCGTTTAAGTAATCTCCTTTTTAGACAATTACAAATTTGCAGGAAAACTTGATATTCCTAGGGCCTTAGGAAGAAAGGATTTAAGCCTTCAAATTTGGGGCTTAATTCTGTTAAGGAAAATATAGGTGAAAATGGAAGGATAGAGAATGGCTGTTTTGTTTGTTTGATTTTTTTTGTACAGAGAAAAATGTAACAATTCAGGCTTTCTAAGGTCACAAGATTGTTAACTTATGCATTTGACTCTTTTATAAAGATGTCTTGATATTTCCAAATGTATGGTAATTTAGCAGTTATTTGGTATCTACTGTGTATATAGAGAGCTTTATCAGGTGTGGTGTACCTAAGTCTTTTTGCTAAAATACATTAGGGTCAATCAAGCCAATCCTGCCTATTTAGAATTTGGGTTGTTTTTTTTGTTTGTTTTCCAAAGAAATAAGTTGTTATTTTTTTGGTTTAGTGTGTTGAAATAAACTATATCATAGCTACATCATTTTGTGTTTCTCCTTTTTGAGTAAGAGTGTTTTTTATAAGTGCAGGGGCTACCCTACTCGAGGAATGTATATTCTATTTGTGTATACAGATAAATACATATTGGTATTACTTTGTTCAGCTCTACCCCCCACACACACACACTGTTCTTTGACATAAGCGGGATCCCCCAGTCCTCTCCCTCATCTACCTTCACCCGATCCATGAAACTTTCTTCATGTCTTTTTATATCCAGCTGAGATGCCGCAATCCATCATCTGACTAGTACTAACATTCTTTACCAGTACTCTGAACTCTGTTCCTCATCTGCATTTCTACCATTCATAGAAAAATCAAGGAAATTTCCCCACCCTGTTACAAACATCACAGTTTTTCCATATTTGCCCTTTAGCAACCAAATGCTGCTAGAGAAAAAGGCATATAAGACAAATTGGATCTGTTTACTATAAATCCATGGTTACCTACTGTCTTAGTCCACTGGGGCTGCTATTAAAAACTACCATAGCCTGGGTGGCTGAAACAAGGCATTTATTTCTCATAGTTCTGGAGGCTGGGAAGTCCACGATCCAGGTGCTGACAGATTCAATGTCCCGTGAGCCTTGCTTCCTGGTCCATAGACTGCTGTCTACCCACTATGTCCTCACATGTAGGGAGGTTGGGGAACTCCCTGAGGTCTCTTTTGTAAGGGCACTAATCCCGGGGCTCCTGGGTGACTCAGTTAAGGGTGACTTGGGCTCAGGTCATGATCCCAGGGTCCTGGGATCGAGCCCCGTGTCATCAGGCTCCCTGCTCAGCAGGGAGTCTGCTTCTCCCTCTGCCCCTCTCCCCTACTCGTCCTCACTCGCTCTCAAATAAATAAATAAATAAATAAAATCTGATAAGGGCACTAATCCCTCATGATCCAATCCCATCCCGCAGGCCCCACCTCCAAACATGATCACACTGGGGATAGGTTTTAACATGAATTTGGGCGGGACCCAAGCATTCAGTTTATAGCACCCCCCTCTGCACTGATAACCCTAGTACAATTTCCTGGTAAACTTGTTCTCCATTCTCCACCATTTCTTTTCCACACTGTCTCCATCTTCCGCAACTACCCTCACTCCCCGAGAAGGTGCTTTTATCATCTGTTCTTTCTTTTGAACTGTGGCCCCACAAGAGATTCTCAGCAGAAAAATGTGACCACTAGAGGAGTCCTAAATCTAGAACCTAAGAAGCTGGCGGTGGAATGCAATACACAAACGTCTATGCATGACTTCTGTCCTGTGAAGTCATTGCACTCAGAGGGACAGGATCTGCTTTGCCGGCCCTTCTTCTGGGAATTGGAGCCACTTATCTGTGGAAGTTGCTGCTCTGCCTCCCGCCCCGTGGCTCCAGCAGGGCTGCCAACACCAGTACACACGCCATCTGTCTGGGCCCGTGGGAAGGCATGGGACCCAGGCAGGCGGCCAGGCCCTTGCCTACGTTGTTTCTAAAGGAAACTAAAGGAAGAGAATCACTTTTATTCTAATGACAAAGCTCGAGAAAATATCCGAGTTCCACTCCCCCCAAGGTCTGACCATATTCCTATTCTGGGCAACTTTTCATTATCAAGGTCATAAATGCCTACTTTTGGCCTAAAATAGTTAAAATTTCCTGATTTGCATCCAAAAGGACCCTTGCTAAAACAAAAATCGGTTCCTGGATACAAAAAGTGATTGGAAAGAACCAGGGTGTTCAGGTGTGTATCAAAGAGCGGGGAGCCCCGAGTTTGCTCCTGGGGTGGACCCTGAGAGCCGGGCGAAGTCTTCAGTGAAACTCAAGTGCTGTTTAGAGGGCGGGGTGAAGAGTAGGAGAGGGGCGTATGGCTGAGATGTGAGTCTTAGAAGAGCAGCGTTGTTACACGTGAATGGGGTGTCCCTGGTCTGCATGGTCATCCCCCAATAAGGAAAAGAGCTGTCCTTGTTTTATGTGACCTTTCTCGGTGCCTCGTGCATCTGGGCTTTCTGCACTCTGTGTAGGCTCTCACAACCACGTCTGCTCTGTTCATTTCATTTCTCCAGGTTAGCGTGGGGCCACACCATAGGAAACAAGAGCACCTTCCAGTTTGCCTGAGGAAGGGTCAAGGGTCAAGGTCAAGTTCTTGATAGTCTCTCATTGTTAATGATAGTGTCCAAATTCTGCAAGGAAAATTTAATGCCCAGTAAAATAATAAGTATTTGTACATACTTCAGTGCTTGTAAGGTGATCTTGCAAACTTGTTATTCTAACCACTTCATTGATCCACTCATTTTATGAGGAATTGCTATGTCCCAATAATATTACTGATAAAGGACCAGAGGCTCAGAAAAGCTAAGTTACTTGCCCAAGGCCAGGCAACTAATAAAAGAGGCAGGTGTTATGGCTTTAAATCTCATCATCTTGGGGTGCCTGGGTGGCTCAGTCGTTGGGCGTCTGCCTTCGGCTCGGGTCATGATTCCGGGTCCTGGGGTCGAGCCCCACGTCGGGCTCCCTGCTCCGCGGGAGGCCTGCTTCTCCCTCTCCCACTCCCCCTGCTTGTGTTCCCTCTCTCACTGTCTCTCTCTGTCAAATAAATAAATAAAAATCGTTAAAAAAAAAAAAAAAAGATTCTCTCTGCCCCTGCCCCCTCGCTCCCAAGCAAGTACGGGCTTTTTCTCTCTGGGGAAGAAAAAAGAAATTAT